TATGACCAGTCAGTTCAATTGAAAACTGGTCGGTATGACCGGTTTTGAACGATTTTGATCGGTATAATTGTTGTACCGTACCGGTATTATAACTATCATAAAAAATATCTTCCAAATTAAAGTTACTATAATAAATGAAAAGCCTTAAAATTAATTATTATAATTTGTGATTGAATAATAAATGAAAAATTATATTAAAATGCTAACTTTGTTGATCAGACAAATATTAACAGAAATTTCGTCATTTCTATTTCATTATTACTTATGAAAGTTAGACATTATTTTTCTCGGAAGTTATTTATAACATAAATTTGTTAGATTATTTTTCCTTAATTGAAAATCTTAATGTTGTGCCTCTAATTCCCTCTGATTTTTATGGGACAGAGGGAGTATATTAAAAAAAAGGATATAATTAAAACATTTCAATTCAAAAAATACGAGTTAGAGATCTAGATTAAGGAGACGATTATGGATTAGAGGATATGTTAGCATTTCGTCAATCTATTCGTACCAGATAATAACCTCAATAATTACATGGAATTATTTATATTTTCATGTTCTTATGATGTTTGATCAATTAATTTATTTATTTATTGAGGGAAAAACTTGTTTTTATTTTTTGTTTAAGAACATTTTATAGGGAATGTAGGCTATGAAGTTGTAAAAAATATTTGATTTATTAGGTGTATTGTATTTCCTTTTTGAAATCGAAACGGCATATTTTTACCGTCAAGAGAGAGAAAGAATGTTGGCTCATGGAAAGGAAATGGTGATTCCCATATACATATATACAAAATAAAATGGTGTTCTCCCAATTTATGCTCCATAATTAAAACACTTTTATTATATTTTCATTTTAATAGAAAATAAAATTTGGAAATTAGTTATTTTTATATTTTAAATTGGAATATTTGCATTTAAAAATTATTTCTCGAGATAAACAATTATTTTAATATTCTTTATAATGCTATAAAATTATTGTAATATTTATAAATAAGTAAAAATAATTATTTGACTCTATAAAAAATAAAATAAAGTTGGAACACTACAATACTCATAAATGGGTAAAAATAATCATCTGAATTTTATAAAGTTACAAAAAATGATCGGACTGCCTTTTATTTTTATTTTATTAAAATATGAAAATTAGAAGGATTTAGCGCATGTATTTTTTAAGGAATCCTTTTATTATTAAGTGAATAATTATCCACTAATTCACTTGAAACCCTTTCTATTTTGTACTTTAAAAAGAAAATAAAAATGGAGGGGACTCTATTTTGAAATGATGTATTGTCCTTATTGAGTCAAAGTCTCCATCAAGATATTTAGTTTTTTTTTAATATGAAAAGGAGAGGAAAATTCAAAATGGAATTCGAAACTATTTGCTTTCTAAAATTAGTTTTTTAAATTATGATCCTTACTTTATTTCTTTATTATTTCCGTTATTTAATTAATTAAAAATATTAATTTTGAATACAATGTTTTTCAAAAAAATTAGATGAAGAAAAGCCTTTTAAGAAGAACATCAACGTGGGTGATCCCGAAAGTATTTATAGGGAAACTGAAAGGGGAAGTAAACATTTTTTATCATGTTGTAAATGATATTCCTAACCTACAAATAGGTAGATTAAATTACCGAATCGTGTTGTTGAAAACAAGTATAAAGAGTTTTTGAATCCACGAGAACTTGATTGATACTAACATTTCAAACAAATATTTCTATTCTAAGTTGGTTTCAAATTGGGTTTTGGTTGGTTTGATTATACTAATTAATAAGTAAACAATTGGAATAAAGATATTAATAAATTTACTATTCACTCTCAATATGCACTAGATTCACTATCACATCTCTATGTCTAACAACGATGTTAATAAATTTGAGAGTTATTTAGTGTTCATATGACTCTAGGTCTAGCAACCATATCAACACGCACAAATGTAATGAATCAACATAAATCTACGTCTAGGAATTATACCAATATGATGAGCTCTTATTTTCAGAATTTAGATTCATAATTAATTCAAGCATTCATAATCACAAATTCATACAAAAAAAGGTTGTCAATGTCTAAGTTAGTATTAAGCACTAAATTAATTCATAAGAATCAAAACATAATGAATAAGCATAAATTTGAATCAAAGTGTATACATCAAGTAAGTATTAAATCCAATCCTAACAATGGAGAAGATTAGTCACACATTATCATGATAACTAGAAACAAAGATATGAAAAGAGAAATAAAACTCAGATTACCTCCTCAATGAGTATAAATTAACTCCTCTAACATTTCCCCTTGCTTTTACTTCCCAATTTCAGCTAGACTATCCTAAGAAATAAGAGAAATCGAGTACATGGTGTTTTCTACCTTAATTGCTACCTTATATGTCCAAGTTGACTACCTTTTAAAGAGTGTGATTTTTGCACAATTGGCCCAAATGAGGCTTGACCTTTCAGCTAGCCAAGTTGTGTTGGGTATAACTACATTGATTCGCTGACCGCTTGTCTTGTGTTGGGCACATCCACTTTTCACCAATTCATACTATTTTTTAGTTTTTCAAACCTCTAATGACAAAATAATAATGTAAAAGAAATTGTGCAATTATTTATCTTGATTAATAGTATGAATAACTTTTATTTAACTTTTAGAGGCAAATTGTGCTCAATATACTTATTATGTAAGGAAACTTTTGCAGCTACCATATATATATATTACAACGTGCCGACCTCCGTCCTTTAATTTTTTTAAGTAAATTACATTCACACCTCCTGAGTTTTAATGAAATTACACAAACCACCCCTCCCTTCTTTGTCATTACACCAACCACCTCTCCCTCCTACACAAACCACCCCTAGATTTATACATACATTACACATACTACCCCTGTATGTTATAAATGTGTAATATTTTAAAGAAAAAACGTTTGATGAATGTAATTAAGTTAAACAAAATATTGTATATTGTGTAACACTTCAAATAGTACAAAAGCAAATGTTTCTTTATTATTTTTGTGTCAGTAAAAAATACATTAATAATTTCAAATAAATGTTTAAATAACTCTTATATTAATTTATAACGATCTAAATAATGAAGACGCATTGCCTCTTATATTATTTGAATTTTTATACATAATATACAATCTTTTGTTTAATTAATTACACACATCATATGTTTTTTATTTAAAATATTACACTTTTATATTATGCAGAGGTAGTCAGTATAACATATGTACAAAATTAGGGTTGGTTCTTGTAAAGACAAAAAAGTGAGGGGGGTTTGGGAACATATTTTTTCAACAACACACATGAAGCCACACACATGTTGGGATAATAGATATGCTCCCAACTTTAAGTACATCAAATTGGAACAGTTTCACTATGGTTTCATGATTATAAATAATATAGGTGGATTCTTCTCCATCAACCCTAATTACCACTGTGTTATTCCGTTAAAATCAACACTCCAACCGGAAGATTTAGCTGTCAAAAGAAGATTGATCATTCAATAATAGAGGATAAGAGAACCATGTATGGCATCATATAACTTCTTGCATAAAAATGTTGACAATTCAAATCACATATCTAGCAACATCAAGCTCATCCAAAAGCTTGTCACTAATAAGAACAATATTTTAAATTATGGATGCTGTTAAGTATCGGTTTCGGAAGCGTTGAGAGGCTACCACTATGTATTAGAGAATAAAGATTTGTGTTTTGCTATTGTTCTACTTGTTACATAACATATATCCCTCTACCTCAACCCTTATATTAGTCCAAATTCATAACTTGTATTGCTGTTAGGATGAGAAAAAGTCTTATCCATTGAATACGAGACATTGCACAATGTATTTTTCCATAAATTTCCAGTTTCAATAAATGCAATGTAACTCCAATTTGGAAAATTGTGTTGCATTAACCATAATTATAGAAAATTGGGGGAGTGTGGCCAATATGGTCTCAATTATGATCGTTATGTTGATACAGAAACTACAATATTGTAACTATAATCGTGGTTGTGGAATATAATTTAAAACACCTACTACAATCTTTAATGGCTAGCATTCAAGGCCTAACTGCCTAAGGAATTAATACATAACTGCCAAGTCTTATTCTTCTTACTTACTAGGAAAGCAAAAAAAATCACTATATTTTGTGTTGCATGAAACCAGAAACTAGCATCTCACTAGACCTAATTTTCACAGCTTCTTTTTGCGGTGGAGGTAGCTATTTTATGGTTAAATGTTTACTGGTGAGAAATTCGATACAAGATGATGACAGTGTTTTAAATTGCAATTCACAATCAAAGAATCTACACAATGGAGAATATAATTACATCCGCATTAGTTCCATTTTTATGCAATTTTTGTAAATGCAATGTGTGGATATTTTAGTTTCTCAAATCATATATATATTTTTGGAGTTAAGTTATTTTTGAAATAGAACCAATTTCAGTGAAATTAAGACATACAGTGTATTAGTGTAGTTTACTTTTAGAAAATAACAAACATCTGAGATCTTATTGTATATGATATATATCTGTTACAACATGTGCCCTTCAATCTTTTTTGAATTCGTTATTCCTTAAGGAATCAAATTATTTATTGGAAAATCTTGACTCTAGAGACCACTGTATGTTCAAGTAGTGGAAAAGATATGCAATTATGTACAAGACATGGAAATTGTAATAAGTCAACTTCCTTAAAGTTAGACCTATCAATATGGAAATTTATTCCAAAACAAAGAGATGGCATGGTCTCAGATAATAATCAGTACTAAAGTAGAATTTCACAAACAATGTGGGGCCTGTGTGGTTTGAAAGAATTCTTTGGGGAATATCAATTGTGCAAATAATGTAATATGAGATTCCAAAATTGGTGTTTTCTGCCTATAAATACACTAATAGTAATGCTCATTTTATGCAATCAACTCAAATATGAGATGTTATAAAAAAACATATCTTATTGTTGTTGTATGCTCTCATGAACCTTTCATGAAAGGATGGAGAGTGGATCTGAGCCAAGGATGACTTGCCGGCATATGCTTTAATGCAGTATTTCAATTTTTGGCTTTGTCGGTAGTTAGCCTTGGCTCAAATTTGTTCCTTTTCTTATCATGTGAGACTCTAATAGAGCTTATCCGTTCCACCGAGGTATTATGGATTTTATTTCATGTTATTACATGCCAACAAACTACTCTGATCGATAAAGAATATAATTTTTTTGGATTTTCTTTCATGTTATTACATGTGATTAAACTAATCTGATGGATAAAGAAGATGATTTTTTTAGTGTGACCATTGTGACAAAATATTTTACATACACACAACAACAATCAAACCATGATAACATGTTTAAGGCACTTGACTACCACTCACCAACTATGTTGGACCATATCCATAAATAGACACAATGATTATAAATAAAAGATCCATGAATCAATGAAATTTTTTAGGATTTGAAGGTGGGAAAAATATTGGGATATATGACATCTTTTTGCAAATAAAAACAAATATGATAGGGGTTTGAGGTTTGGAAAAACCCTGCTTTAGGTTGGATCAAGGCCAACACTGATGGAGCTGCTCTGGGTTCCCCTGGGCATTAAGGTGGTGGTGGCATATTTCGGGATCATAATGGTATTGCTCTAGCTTGTTTTTCTACATATTTAGAAATCCATAATGCTCAATTTGTTGAGCCTCATTCGATAATTAAAGTTGTTATTATGGCTCTCAAGAGAGGTTATACAAACTTATGGCTTGAATGTGATTCGATGTTGGTAGTAGAGATTTTCAATGGCAAATCGGCTGCCCCTTGGAAGCTTCATAATGATTGGATTATTTGCAAGGGGAAGTTAGCTTCTATGAACTTTTATATTTCACACATATATAGGGAGGATAAATCTTGTGCGGATAAATTGGTGGCTTTTGGAGTCAATTCTAAAACTAACACAACATGGTCTCATATTCCGATTTTATTAATGTTGATTACTCTAGAAAAAATATACTTGGTTTTCCAAATTATAGGTTTAGATACTTGTAATCTCTTAATATATTTTGGGTTTTTGTACCTTTGCTCTTAAAAAAAGATAGGGGTTTGAGGTTTAATGATCTTCAATTTTCAATTTCACTACAAGGAAACTCAAGTTTAGTGAGGAATATTTGTCAGAGAATTTTCCCTCGGCCTATTAAAGAGTAAACACAATCCTCCCACAAAACAATAGAAAATATGATGTTCTTGTTAGATTTTAATGGGTGATAGAAACAAACTATCAATAAGAGAGTGATTTGTGAGAAAAGTAACTATGATTTTACCGACATTAAATTAAAAATCTGTCACCAATCCGTGGCAAAGTTTTTTATTTTATTTTTTATTTCTGGCTTATCAAAACAGAAAAGAACTCACCACACTTTCCTTATTCTATTCTTAACACAGAAGAGTTAGAACCTAACCCTAGCCATATTCTCAAACTCTTTCACTGGTTTTTAACCCTCTCTATCACTTTGCACCGTCGTTCTCACTATAACCACAATCTTTGTTGATCTGCATGATCAAGATAACGATATCTCTCATCGTAATCTCCATAAAAAAAGACTAGTTGTAAGTTGTAACTACCATTAAGCTGTGAACTACTGTTGTTCCATTATTGGTTCTGTCCAAAGTCGCTGTTCCTCTTTTGTTCATGTATTTCAAAAACCTAATTAATCATATTTACTCAATTGATATGTTACTTCATAGGCTTGGGGTTTCCATTTTATTTCGTGTTATTTGCTTAAACTCATCGACTTTTATTAGTTATCTAAACACTATATTCTTCTAATTTTCTTTCTTTTTGTAATAAACTTTTGTTGCGGATAAAAAAAATATTTTTCTTAAATTACAGGTTTGTGTAGTTTAGATTTATTAACTAATTTTTCGTCCACACTTAATATCAACCTTATGATATATATATGCATTATTTTCTGTTAAACTAGTCATATTTTCAGTTAAATTATTCATGTGCCTTAGTCTATATATTTTTTTATAATATATGTGCCTAATCTAAAAGTGAGAAGATATATTATCATATAAATATGTGGGACTAACACATACTTAAGTGTTAGTTATATCTTGTTTTCATTTGACAGATTACGATTGTTTCGATGAGATAAAATGATGAAGAAAGAGATAAATAATACTCACGCATGATCGGAATTGTATGTACAAGCAAGAAATACAATTAATCAAAGTTATTTTATATTGACAATTATCTTAAACAAGTCTTCCTTCGTGAAGGATACCATAACACCTTGCTATAAGCCTGGTGCAATATTTTAAATTGTATTTCCCAACCATGGTCACAATATTAAGTCTCCATAACATTATCCCGACCACAATTACAATCGCCAAATATTCACATTATTGTAATAAATACAATGTAACCGAAATTCAAAACACGACACCGATGTTTGTGAACCTTCCACATATGAAGACTTGACCATTAGTTCCTTTAAAACACTATCCACAACGTGAAGCGTTCCATGAACATCTGGAATATTTGTGGAGAAAGAGACTGAGTTGTTTTACCTTATGTCGCATTACCTTATGTTATATACATTTTTTTCAAATAATTTTAAAAAACAATGAGGTAGCCCACTGTAGACCTTGTGTCATGTCACAATACCTTATGTTTTAAAAAAAATTAAATAATTTTGAAAAGGAATATGAGGTAGTCCACTTTGGGCCTTGTGTCTTATCGTGTTACCATATGTTGATAATGTTTCAAATAATTTTAAAAAGCAATATGAGGTAACCCACTATAGGTCTTGTGTATTGTCGCGTTACCTTATGTTGTTAATGTTTCAAATAATTTCAAAACGCAATATGATAAGAATAATTTTAAAAAGCAATATGAGATAACTCACCATAAGCTTTCTTCTTTGTCGCATTACCTTATGTTGTTAATTTTTCAAAGAGTAAATTACACTGACACCCCCTGAGTTTTAGTGAAATTATACAAACCACCCCTCCATTTTTTACACCTACAAAAACTTCCTAATTTATAAACATACATTACACTGATCACCCCTGCATGATAAATAGGTTTGATTTTTTAAATAAAAAATGATGATAAGTGTAATTAAGTTAAACATAATACGGGTATATTATGAAAACAAGTCCAATAGTATATGAGTCAATACATTTTCATTATTTTTTGTTAATAATATAGTATAAGAGTGCAGTGTTGTTTTTACGGACCAAAGTTAGAACAAGTGCAAGTTTGAATAATCTGCACTATTGTGTTTAGATTTGTTTTTAGTTTCTTCTTGTAGCTTGAGCTAGGATGTTCTGTTTTGAAAAAAATAGGGACTTCCTTACTATAGGTTCATGATTTGTAGTTTGGTTTGTTTTCCTTTGTAAACCTTGTTCTTACCTAATATAGTCTGGGTGCTTTTATGCACCTTTCTGCTATAAAAAAAAGATTGATGTCTAAAAAAAATATAGTATAAGAGTGATTTAAATAATATCTCCTTAGAATTTTTGATGCATTTTCTAATGAACCAAAATTAATGAAAATATATTCACTCGTATACTATTTCGATTTGTCTTCACAATATATTATATTTTGTTTAACTTAATTACACTTATCATCTTTTTTATTTAAAAAATTACACTTATTTCTCATGCAGGTGTGGTTAGTGTAATGTGATTAATGTTTCAAATAATTTTAAAAAGCAATATGAGGTAGTCCACTATAGGCCTTGTGCTTTGTCGCGTTACCTTATGTGGTTAATGTTTCAAATAATTTTAAAAAGCAATATGAGGTACTTCCACTATAGGTCATGTGTCTTGTCACGCTACTTTATGTAGTCTAAGGTAATGTGAGGAAACACATTATAAGGCTTTGTGCCTTGTCGCGATATCTTACCTTACTAACTTTAATAAATAAAATAAAAATATATCAAACAATCAACCATTTTTATGAAAGAACTACATAGCCTTGATTTTTCTATTGCAACTAGAAATATTAGGAGCAGACACTTCCCCATCAGTCACAAAAAATAAAAATATGTTTTTTGTCTTTCTTTTTATTTAATAATGTGGGGTAAAATTAATGTTTTGAACGAATATCTACATGATTGATTTAGGTATCGTTTTTATAATGAGCGGTATGAGGTGCCTAACACCTTCCTCGTCTGTACCCGACTCCCAAATTTTTTTCTTTGAGCATATTAATCCTTGTGCCAGAAATTTATTTGCATTATTCCCATCACACCCATGAAAGTGGGGTAGGGACAAAGATAATAGACTAAGATCCACTATATTTAGTCAATAAATCTATTACTATAAAAGAAAAGAATGTCCTCCTAGCCACATGTCATTTCCTCATCACTTTTTTTCCCTCTAAAAGTGTTCTATCCTATTATTATGCACATAACTACACTACATCCTCACTTTTTATACATTTTATATTTTAATAATTTAAATGCTAATTAAAAATACAATCTACTCCTATTAATGATTTAATTCATTCTTCCTCTTATTTTCCACCTATTTTTTCATGGACACAAATGTTCATAAATAATTTTTGTAGAAGAAAAAGAAGTTGGAAAAACTTTTTATCATTGGAATTGAAAATTAGAAGCAACAAATATATTTGATACTCATGTTTTCCATTTTTTCTCACTTAAATGTGTAAATATGGTCACTGGATCTCTCCAATTTAACATATACTCTATTAACCAATATACAATCTAATTTGAGTAGTTGATTCGTCAATAACTCAATAAGACTAAACAAATTTGTTTCTACAACCTTCCCACCTTTATTAATTATATTCAATTATATACATCTAACAAATTCTAAATCGCTAATAAGATTTTATCATCCAACTAATTAGATTGAAAAAAATCATATCATTTTACGTCATTCAATATTTGCATTAATCTATCTACTTTATTTAACCTTTACTAATACTATAAGAATTAATGTACTTTATTTAAATTGAAAAAAACTATACAGTTTTACCTCATTCAATATTTGCATTAATCTATCTACTTTTCACCTCATCAAAGCTTTGTGATACTTTACCAATTGAATTTTAATTATTCCCTACTATAATTAAAAAAAT